TTTTTTTTTTTTTTTAATGAAGAAGACAGATTATGAGTTCGAATCCTGATGGAATCAAATGAATAACCATAAGATTCCAGCGGCCTAACTCAGTTGGTAAGGTTCGCAAGTGGCATTCAGGAGGTCGTGGGTTCAATCCCCAGTACCTTTGTAGGGCATGCTTGGCGCCCGCCACCTAGAGATATAGACCATTGGATCCCCCGATCGGCATTGAGCAGAGTCTGCTGATGTTCGTAGTAGGGGTGGGGACCACCACCTGAGGGGAGGCACAGGGATTGGTCCTGTTGGCATGGTACCTGATGCTACCGGCTGTCCCCTACTGTAGCCGGTATCGCCCACCTGCAGGTCAGGAGCAGCCCCGCATGTTCTCTTGTGAACATGGTTCTGGCTGCTGCCGATGTTCGTAGGGGTGGGGACCACCACCTGAGGGGAGGCACAGGGATTGGTCCTGTTGGCAAGGTACCTGATGCTACCGGCTGTCTCCTAGCCGGTATCGCCCACCTGCAGGTCGGGAGCAGCCCCGCATGTTCTCTTGTGAACACGGTTCTGGCTGCTACCGGGGTTCCCCGTATGCCTACAATTAGGAGTAGGGGTAGGTAGGTAGGTAGTGTGAGGTGAAATTGAGAGAAGAATATAGCTTTTTAAAAAAAGAAAAAGGAAAAAAATGAATAACCATCAAATGAATAGGATAATGTGAGGTGCTAATGGTATGCATCTGTCTAACTGATAGTAAACACATTACGAGTTCGAATCCTGATGGAAAGAGACGAAGAGAGTCTCACAAACACACCCGGCCCCGTGTACTGTTAGTAAACAGACTGTGAGTTCGAATCCTGATGGAATCAGATGAAGACCGTATAGTGAGGGCCTAGTGATACAGATCTATCTGTTCGTAAACAGGTTATGACCTCGAACCCTGATGCCATCAGATGACTACGATAATGTGAGCTCCTAACCCCTTTCTTTGATAGATATCACGAAACGACATTTCACAGCGCTACGTCCTTTTTTTTTTTTTTTGTGTGTGTGTGTGTGTTGTCATATTTTCGCTATACACTTAAAAAAAGCATGACTGTGCCAAACAGACTGTTTCTTAGGACTTTCACCGACTGATCAGGAGGTTGAACCCCGACAGTCTGCCCAGGATTCATCCGACTGATGGATAAGGACTCGCCACATGGCCCAGAGTCACGGACACCCCTGAGAGAAAAATGGTCGACTTTACTCATACCAACCTTAAGCAATTCTCAGATATTTCATACCAACCTTAAGCAATTCTCAGATATTTCTCAGAAAGAAAAGGGAAGACTACCGTCTTCTTCCCCCGAATCGATCATTATAGCTGTATTTGGCGCTACTTGCAGTTTAGATGCAGCGATAATGACCTGTCCTTCTATTCTTTTTCTTTTTTTTTTGCACGCTGCACACGTATATCGTCAAAAATGATTCGCCCCTCCCCCCCCCCCTTCTCTTCCCCTCTTCCCCCCTCATATGGTAAAACCAAAGCTCAAGTCCCTGCAAGGGCAAGGTCACATAGCGCCTGTTGCGAGGTCCGAGGTTCTTGCATTTCGCATCTTGTTGGTGCTATGTTTGCTGCAACCTTGGCAGTCTTTTCTTCTTCTTCTTCTTCTTCTTCTTCTGTTTTTTCCGAAGGACACGGAGAGGGAGATGAGGATCGAGACAGAGTGCATAAGGATTGGGATCCAGACTGTGATTAGATAGAGGCAGAGAGTGGATAAGGATTGGGATCGAGGTGGGGATTAGGGTTTAGGGTAGAAAATTGTTGAGAACTGTGACGGAGGCTGAGATTAGGATGGAGGTGGAGATTAGGTGAGGATGTTTGTTTATTTCTGGATGTTGTTTTTAAGCCTAAGGGTCTCCTTAATCCTAAGGGTCTCCTTATACCCTCCTTATAAAGGCATTTTTTTAGGAATGCGATGTCGTTCAACCATTCCAAAGAATGGAATCCCTAAAAAAAAAAAAAAAGTGAAAACGCTTGCTCATGGTTGCATGTTCAAATCCTGCTAAGGACCACCTCAAAAAAAAAAAAAAAAAGGAATCACCTTGGACCCAAATAGTCCTTGGACCCAAAGAAGAACCTTGTGAGGTTCTTCGGATCCAAGGAGCGGGTTTCTAAGGAGTGGAGAGGGCGTACACATAGTGGAGAGAGGTTATAGACGAGAATCAGGAGCGTGGCGGCGCCCTATTGTTGGCGGAAAGCCTGAAGCACAACTGTTTTTTTTTTTCTTTTTTCTTTTTTTGGTCGACCGCGTCTATTCTAAGGAATAGTCCTAAAGACGGATTGTTTAGGACGAGTCTAACCATGACCCTGAAAATCCTAAATTTTTCTGAGGACTAGTCCTAAATTTTGCTAAGGACTAGTCCTAAAATTTTGAGGACTGCGAGGGAGGGTCTAATGAGACCTAATCCTATATTGCGCAGCGAGTGTCGGAAGATGCTTCCCATTGGGCCCAGCGGGTCCCCAGGAAAGGAAGTGTTTGGGTATAGTTTTCTTGCTAATTTTTTTGCTCTGTCGTGGTGTCACCGGGCAGATGTGAGGAGCTCGAATTGCGAGCTCCTCCTCGTGGCACGGTTTGTTTTGGTTCAGTCTTGCCATTGTACAGGCGCAGCTGGTCGTTTTGAGGTTTTGGGCCTTGCTCCACTACTCACGAAATGTTGAAAATGACAATCAATGAATCTTCCACTACAACATGGAAACATGCATCGCCATATTTTTTTGTCGTTTGTGCATGTGGAGAGTAGTGGAGCGAGGCCCTTTGTGGTTCCTTGCCAGGTTACAGGCGCCGTTGGTCATTTTGTGGGTTTGTGTTTTTTTTTTTTTTTCGGGGGGGGGGGGCGCGGTTGGCTGTTTCGAGGGTTTAGGGTTTTCCGGAAAAGGAGCTGGCCTCACGATTCTCTCAGGGCCGTTTTCAAATTTTGGGTGCATAGACGAAGGTTCAAGCGTGAATCCGATTGCACCCCAGCCAGAAGGGGAAAAAATTATGGTAGGGTTGTTGGATTTGAGCTATTAGCAAGCTCGTCCCGAGTGCATCCGAGTGCATCCCAGCCTGAAAAGGGGATGAGTTACCTTAGGGTGGTCGGATTGGAGCTATTAGCAAGCTCGTCCCGAGTTCGAATCCGAGTGCACCTCATCCGGGAATGTGAAAAAGTTATTTTAGGGTTGTGGGATTCGAGCTCAGGTCTATCTATCAATGGTTGTTCTATGAAAGCCCTTCTCGTTCGCAGCTTGTTGTGCACATGTTTGAATGTGTGAACACATTGCAGATGTGATTTGGTTGGAAAGGAGACGTGTGACTATTCACAGCAATGTCCCGAGCATCGAATCAGGATGCACCTCAGCTCGAGAGGGGAAAAAGTAATCTTGGGGTTGTTTTCTTATTTCTCTTTCTATACCTGGCCTATTACCCACCCCAGGTGGTTACCACCCAACGCGCACGGTATCCCCTGGGCCACATAATACCGCTCAGCCCACATACTGCCTGGCTGTGGAAAGGACCGAATCAGGCCTGATGTTTTTTCATTTTTCGGTGGGAGTGTGTTTGTTGGTACCATCCAGTCAACACAGTACAGCCTTCCCTGCATGGTGCGGCCCAGCCCAACTCTGCCGTCCGACCTGCATGACATCATGTGGGCCACATAACACCGCCCGACCCACATAGTACGCTAGCTGTGCCAAGCAAGTGTGCCTGAGTGTGTGTGTGTGTGTGTGTGTGTGTGTGTGTGTGTGTGTGTGTGTGTGTGTGTGTGTGTGTGTGTGTGTGTGTGTGTGTGTGTTC